TAAATCTACTTGTTACTTCGGACAAATAATCCAATAAAAATCGCTAAAAATCCGAATCAAGATATTATTGTTACTATTATAAAGTAATATAAAATAGGTGTATTTAGTTTTCCGTGAACCTTGTGTTAATATGTCTTAAAAAAAATAAAAATATTCTAAGTAAATTGTATTGAATGTAAATGAAATAGAAATCCTTTTCTTTTCTTAATAATTCTAATAATCTGAGAAGAATGTGTGAGAACAGTCCTAAACTTTCCTAATGTCTTTACAGTTTGGTAGTTGTCTTGGTGAATTTTCATCATAAATGCATAAAACCCGCAGTCTATTACTAACTGTTTAAGCAAAAGAGATCGTAAAATTTCAGTTACCTTACATGATATTATTTTCGTATATAAGAGTTCGTAAATATGAAATATTTATCATATTATAAAGAAACTTAGAAGTATGTGATCTTTTACAGAATTGCCTCAAATAAAATACGTATATACCAAGGCATCGATATTACATGCAATATGCAACACGATCCAATGGATACACAGAGAGTATTTTTAAACAGTCATTAAGATTTCACGAAAGAGTCTTAAATCGTATTTAATAATAACGTGATGTATAAGTAGAATTTATTTTGATGAGATGACTTCACATTGTTTAATATACACGCGAATAAGTTATTCTTTTTACAGTTTTTCGAATGGATAAGCATGGCACAAAGTGTTTGAAAAGAATGAAAGATATTACCGTTTTATAATTATATATGTCGTTTTTATAATTTTTTGTAAAACAAATATTCAAGTTGATCGAAAATGCTGAAAAATATATTGATAGACTGGTATGATCTCAAATGGTTTGAAGCAATTATTATTATAAAATTATTATTACAGAATTGTTTATGTTTAATAAAACTTTCGTGACAGTCCCGTTTCAGCAGAACATAAAAAATTGTAGCGGTAAAGATTTTATTATCCCTGCAGTTTATGCTTGAATTAAAATGAACCATGTACAGTCACAAATTCATCATTAAAAGATTCTTAAATCCAATTATATGTATAATTGTGTGTCTAATGGTATAGTATATATAATATGTATAATTGGGTACTATGTATAATTATATGTATAATTGTATAATATGGATAATTGTGTGTATAATTGTGCACTATGTATTATTATATGTATAATTATACAATATGTATTATTATATACATGTAATTATACCATATGTATAATTATATGTATAATTTTGTAATAATAATTAATAATTAATAAATTTGTAATAATAATTAATATAATTCAGGAATAATAAATAATTATCGCCAAAGATATTTTCTAATGAATATAGTGTCAAGTCGAAAATAAAAGTTGCAAGAAGTATATCGTTCAGTACAAAAAGCTTTTGCAACAGAGGCAGTCGACCACTGTCAACAATAGTTTAATTTTTAAGTAAGAACGTTACTGAAAATTTGATTTTTTTCTTTTTCCTTCACAGATTCGGCACATTAGGCAACAGGAAGGCTCGAACAGTCATGCCGTTCAACAGGGGGAAGTGTCTTCATCGAATCGTAACATACTGTCCAACGATCAAGTTGGCTCTATTGTACTTGAGGTACGCATTCACATTTTCCTTGGAAAAAACCAAACACAACTCTGTCTGCTAAAATCGTTGACACCGTATCGGTAATCTGTGCGATTAAAATACGTCTATGTATATTAAATGGTAGCTATGTAAGTCTACGTCGGCATTGAACAGCATTAAAACTTACCACCTCTAATATTTTCCCAACCATAGGTACATAACAATTAGAGAAAAGCTAGCCAGGTAAGAATAACTCGGTAGAGAGGTAGCCATTGTATAGTGATAACAATTTTGTTCCAGATAGAGTAGCTTCGAACGCTTGGTTCGACACACCTTCGTTCCTTAAGTGGAATATCATATCTCTGTTGAGACGAGTTTAAAAGATTGTTATTATTATATGATAGTATTCTTTTTATCCTGCAACTCTTACTCAATAATTTACACTTTAACCCTCGGACGACGGAGCATTCTTGCAACAGTACAATTGACAGTACTAACGACAGTCCGTCAACTTTATTCATCATTTTTTCATAACGCGGAACGTTTTTCTACCGTAGACCAGAATTGGGCAAAAAGTAATCCGATTAATGATTAACGATTGCAACTCGTTAGTTGTTCTAACTAATTTATGATATTTGGACAAAAAGTAATCTGATTAATGATTAACGATTTATAACAATTTATAATAACTAGACTGCGGATCTCTATGCAAGATAAAAATTGTTACCGTTAATTGCAAGAAATGGATCGGTTTATATCTTCCTTTAATAACTTTAATAAATTGCAAAGACTGGAATCAGAGCTGGGTAATATTTATAGAGGAAACATTTGAAATACCATTTTATATAATGGATTCTTCATAATTCATTTTCAATCTTTATTAAATTCTGAAAATGATTAACGTTATGAAAAAAATAGATAACGTAAGAGAAATCATAATATTTGCAAATGAAATTTATTATCCTTTTAAATTCAGCTATTCGCATGCACGTTTATAATGCAGAGGAAAAGTACTTCGTTCATTTTAGATTACTAAAATAGTTTAACACTATGATCTAGTGA